AAGTAAAATACTTATTTTGTTGTTACTAATACAAGTCAATTTCATCCCGATTTACCAATCCCTGATGAATGGATCATTGGAAAGACCTAATTAATTAACTTAAAAATTGACCGCTGCAACCGAGATTCGAACGCACGACCCTAACATTACGAAACCTACGCCTTACCACTTTTTTTTTTTATTACCAATTGGTAATTTATTTACATTCATATATACATTCTATTTACAGTAATCAACAATGTTTTAGAAAGAACTGGCACAATATGGTTACTGGGTAAATTGTACATCATATGGCTTATGATTAGCTCTCATGATTTTCAAATAATTCGTGTATGTTGGTTAACAATATTCATAATAATTCTTATTATTATCATTATTATTATTATTTGTAACGGGTAATTTCCCGGGGATTTCACTCAGGAAAATAGTCCGTTACGACCAATGTCCATGCCTCTAAAATGTCGGACGCCAGCCAGACCTTGTCGGAAGGTCTAACGAAACCGGCCCTCGGGGCCTGTGCGGCTACCCGAGGGACTTTCTGGCCGCTGGACATGCCACATGCCCAGCTAGCTGCAGTTGTGATTTAGTAGAGTGGGAGTGGTCCACCCGAAGAAACCCCAAATCCTTCTTGGCCTTTCCCGGACTTTTCCTTTGGCCGGACGTCGCCATCACCCGCAATGCTGAGCACGGTTATTTGTGCTCTCTTCCCCTGGGAGGCCTTTCCAGGCCTCTCAGGACGGTCCTCTTGCCCCTCGGGTATTGCTACCCGGGACAAGGTCATATTCGCCTGCGACTTCACGGGGTTCCCTGGGCCACCAAGAGGCCGCCTCCGACCGAGGTGGATATCTTCCCATCGACCTCACGACCACCCACGCTCCTGGCACGCAGTTCGCCCGTTTCGTCACGAGCCCCCGTCCCTGGCTACTCAAGATGGCGGCGCATGTCGGGTCGACAGGAGTTCTCTCGGCTCCAGACCCACGGGCCACACACTATCACCTTTTTCGTCCAGGCACAGATCACTCCGGAAACACAATGGTCGTCACCACATGCTCCGAAACGAGACATGAGGTTTCGCGGGAGATGCAGGAGCATCTCCCTATGCTCGCCCTCGTGATTTGCATCACTCGGACGAGGAAGTATATCTTCCCGTTGCTAAACTGTTTCAGCCATGCGTTATTCCAGCTAGCGAGCGGCCACTCTAATCGAGAGCTCGCGCTCGACTGCCCGGAATCTCCCAGGGCCTTCTCCCCCTAGTCTGGATATCTCGGCGGCAACACGATCATTCCGTTACCCGTGCCACGGCCAATCAACCCGACGGGATCTCGGGGGCACCAGTCCTCTCACCTGGCCGTTGGTCCCTAGTCTAAGTCGGTAGACACATTGGTGTTGCCCAGTTGGACGGCCTGTACGTCGGCCCGAATACTCCCTATCACATGCTGAGCAAACACCAACTAAGTGACAGTCTACCAACGTTCTAAGGGCCGACAGGGGTCGCAGTTTCCACCCAAACCGCTATGCCTTTGGCCCCTCATCGGAGGAAAGTCTTACCTGCCATCCCTCCGAGGCCTGTTCGGCCTCCGCTAGATGGCTGTTCCGCCTCCACTGTCCATAGAACAGGGTTCTTTTCTGTTACCAGGGGGATTTCAACCCGTAACGAGAAAATCTCGTTACATATTATTATTATTATTATTATTATTATTATTGCTGCTATTATTTATAATAATCCTGAAGCGAGTCAGAGTTTACCCAGGGTATTTCAAAGGATCTTAACATGGCCTCAATGTATAAAGCCTCGGCCAAGCCTGAGTATAGGCTCGGCCCGTCGAGGCTCATTGGCTAGTTACATGAGCCTGTTATAAGCCTAATATATCCCACCCTCAACAAGTCAAGGTCAGTTCAGCCTGTATTAATCCTCATATTGCCAAGCCTCGGTAAAACAAGGTTTGCAAAAGGTTGGCCCCATCCTCGAGCCTTTGAATTCCTACCTGGGGAACCAAAGAAATGTACATGATCGAAGACAAATATGAAGAAATTGCCGTTTTCATCAATTTTGGGAAATCTTGTTGCTTTCTGTAATTAAAAAAAATCCACTTATCAACTCAATATTTGGCAGAAAGATTGCTCGTACGACCACAATGAGAGATTACAGGCATTCCATTTAGAAGCCAACGATCAATGAAATTGATGGCAAAATAAAATTAAACAAGTAAGATATGCTGTTGTAATTGATATCATATAGTTTTTTTGGCTAATGAATTAGCAACTCACTCCCGAACCGTTATTCGCAATATATAATTGATATAACAATGTATTGGTTTTTCACTTAAGTATAACCGCTTGCAATATTTATTCTATTCTAGGTATAGAGATTTAGATTGTTATCATTATCATTATCATTTATATTGGTGATGATCATTAATTCCCTTCTATGAGTTCTAGAACTGATTTCTAAAACTAAGTGGCTGTATAATATTGTTCACATTACTTTCAAATTTGGATGAGATATTGTTGTAGCCGAATTATGCATACCCAATCAAATGAATCAAACATAACGAGTGCAAAGAAACCATTGCAAAACTCACTTTCAAGAAAAATGACATAAAATTTTGAATTTGTAATGACTGTAATAGATATCACATCACTAGGTACTGTTGGTATTGCTGGTATCGAAAGTGATGTTAAAAACTACTTGAAATCCTTTTGAGCATAAAATTCTGAGATATGGAAGAGATTTCAATAAAAACTCTACTTGAAATCCTTTTGAGCATAAAATTCCGACATATGGAAGAGATTTCAATATTAAATAAAAAAAAATAAATAAATAAAAATAAACAACTGTTGTCGCTATCAGTTTCATCTTCGAACTCGGCTCAAAAGACACGTGAGAGAATTTTTCAAGTCATCCAGAATTTGATTCAAACCAATTTTTTTTCAATTATCGTCAAGATCTGAAATTTCAAAAAAAAAAATTGAAAAATTGAAAAAAAAAATTATACTAATCAAAAGGGATTCGAATTAATGTGGATGGATAGAGCTCAACAGTGACTACATTTGAAAAAAAAAAGTTATTTGATTGCATGCATCAAGTCGCGCACAATTAAAAAAAAATTTTTTTAAATTAAAAAAAACGTTTGTCACATACATATATACATCCATACATACGTACGGACAGGGTCTAAAAATTGCATTTTCGAACTTTTTGGACCATAATGGATTAATCTAACACAAAAAAAAAAATTTATTTCTGCACGATTACAATGCTTCCGTTTCGGGAGCAAAAATACATAAAATACATGTGAAGTAACAATCATATGTCTTTTACAGTCAGGCACGGCCAACTTCAACCATCTGCAACAGCCAACTGCTTGTTTTATTATATTTTTACAATCATTCGAATGGTGCTTCCAACACAACCTTGATCCTCGATATAACCAGATAGAATTTAAACAAAAGATCACGTTCGATAGATACTCCACGCGGCCTTTGAGTGGTATAATTTTCATTCAATATTTCTCTCGGTCTACAGATATAGGTGCGTTTGATAATTAATGGACTTTCTCTCCAATTTAAAGATTACTTTTCACACAGATTATTACGAGTTTTCAGATTATCGGTAAATGTCTAATTTATGTCCCCAAACGATTCGGAATGTTGTATATTTATTTGGATGAGTTTCATTTCGCAATTGGAAATGGGAAACATTTAGTAGAGGAAATATGGATGTTATTACATTGCTCTCTACGATATCGAGGGTTACGGCGAGGACGTGGCGGCATTTTCGGCTTCGAAGACAATACATGTTGGTACATTTATAGACAATGGACACACAGAAAGATCGCTTTTATAACAGTCTTGAGCACATTGATTAAAGCTCTAAATTCACCTTATCCAATCACCTACAGTCACTGACTAAACACGATAAGTGATTTATTATTATATTATATTTACCTCTAGATTGTTTTTCAAAGTACGAGAGACCGTAATGCGCGCCAGCGCGGGTATGAAACGATTTCTGTAAGAAAGTTACAACTTTATAATCTCACGACACTCTAGGTGGACCAATAAGGAATCGTGGCTTCATGATTTCGAGATTTTCGAGATAATCGATTATGTCAAGCGTGTCCTTTTTAGAATAGCATTTTTCTGCTTATTATTTCGTCCTCTATCTTCTCTTCAATTTATGTGTACTGAGAGGATGTGAATGGGTTTTTCATCAGAGAAATTATTATTTCAATGATTATTATTTTTGGTGGACCCAAACCATACATTTACCAAATTCTCCGTGCAGTGCACCCGAAATTTGTAGCCTATAGAAGATTTGACATACTTGTTGCTCAGCTCGGAAGCACTATAGTGTACTACTATTCACGCTATGACCGAAAAAATTCACTTTACATCACTGTCATGAATATACCGTTGTGCTTTCTATTACTAATTTAATATTCACTTCGATTATATTAAATGCCCATAATGGTCCTCGTCATTCCCAGCTATACCTGTATGGCTGTAAAAGCTGACATTAGGTTTGAAATCTCTATCGGCCGTGATATTCGACAGAAAATTAACTCTTATGATCTATGTGAATGTGACTCAACCATTTATAATTGTCTAAAGCATTCTTTAAAGTCCGTCAATATGAGCAAAAAAGATATTATTATACACATTTTAAGAATCCATCTAGAGTTGCATATTTGCGGTTGCTTAATTTTATTTTTAATTTATTTCTATAGAGAATGACATAGAGAGCTCATCAACATTCTCTATGAACAGGTTTAAAAAAATGTCATGACTGTAGAAAGTAAGTATTAAAATTCCATGCTTCTGTATATTTTCGTCAATGAAAGTCGTACACCTTTCCGCAGTCTCTTCTCTACGTAATGAACACGAAGCAGATTCTCCCACTCATTCATAATACCCAAACTCCCGCCATATTGCATATTTAGTATTCAACTAGTATTCGACTTTGTGCTTTGCGAACAAAAATGGTTGCCCATTGGAGCTGCGCTTAGTAGTCTTTCCTGCGAGATAACACGCTCTTCATTTACCATATTCTTTTATTTGTTCACGAAAAATAAATCCTTTTAGTTAAATAAAACTCGTCATTTTTTTCTATAACAGTGTCACCTACGCCTAGAACAGGAATGGATTAAATGTAGAGAGGTACGTAGCTAAATCTAACAAAGCTTTATGGAATTTGTAATCAAGTTCTTGTTATCCATTATAATTTTACAGGTTATTCCTGGCGGTTCGAGAATTACCATGAAAGTAAAACAGTAAATTTGACGATTATTCATGGAATAAACAAAATCATTGGAAATTGGTAAAATTACAATTTTAACACAGATTTTAAATTATCTATGACATCATTTAAAATTCGTATAATGAAATGGTGTTTTTTTTTTCCAAACAAAAATATGAAACATGACAATGTACAAACACGTGGAGTGAACTTCAACTATGATATTCAATCAATGGGAAAACCGAAAAAGTATGTCGTTTCATCAAAAATACAAACTTTTCTGCAGTTTTTCGTGCGATTTCTGCTTAGAAATCAGATTTTAACGAACAAAATTATGTCAAGGCGGGTGGTTTTCTACTTAGCCCACATCTTTGTTTAAAATTGAAAAAACTATATTACAACTATACTTACTTCCGAAGGCAGCTTTATACTCATTGTTTATTCCAAATTTCCAGCTCTCAGTAGTCACGCTTAATAATGGCGTGAAACGGAGAAAATTATGTTTTTACAAAAAATTTCTATGAGTGTAGGTATGTGTGCGCCCATTTATGCTCGCAAGTTCACCTGTCTTCATTTCCATAACTGGAAATATATTGTGATAAAAATACTGGAATTTTGGCTACTAATTGTGACTATTAGTAGTCAAATTTGTGCTAAATTTTAGCTCACTCCGTTAGTCCAGGGAAATTAGGTCTAACATATGTGTTTCATAAAGCCAAGACGCTTTTTATGTAGAAATGCGTGTTTTGATCGTGTGATTAACGGGCAAGTAATTGTACGTGATTAAAGTTTGTGCATTGCGAGAAAAAAATTAAAAACTACCCTTAAAAATGGTTTTTCGCGATTAACTTGCAAAGTACACTCAATACAGAAAAAAAGGTTGAATATAATTTGAAGAGCAAAATATTTCCCATAAAAAACATATGAAACACTTCATCCCTATTTTGTACCGTTTAATCCCTGCAGTCGTTCAAATGTACGATAGGAGAAAAAAATTGATAAAAAATAGAAAAAATTTAATTTTTTAATTTCAAATAATGTTAAAAAATATTAAAAAATCTGAGTCATTATATCTTCATAACAACATAATTTAGTTCAAAAAATTACTATGGAATAGGAAGGGTAACTTCTAATCCAACTGATGAAAAAAATTTTTTTTTTCCTCCACAATTTTCATTCTTAAATATGAAACAAACTTTATTTGAAACATTTTTATCCATCCCTTATATTTCAGAAGGTAGACGCGATTTTCCGATTCACCCTGAATATATCTTCGCGCTGAGAACCTCTACTCCGGGAGTCCACTATATCTATATATATCGCATGCGTTGCCAGCTACTGTGACGTCACATGTACGCTGTGTTTGTGCGCGGAATGACAACATTGGATATTTGTAAGCCCGAAAATGATGGAAAGACCCGTGAAACTCTTTTCGCCAGTTGACCTGTCTCTTTCCACCCCTACTCTTTCAAGCAAGGAAGATAGGTGAATAATAAATGCTAAATAATGATAAGTGATGATTAATGCATCTATAATTATTCATAAATTATCATTTATTTAATTATTATTGAGATTCGCACGAAGAAATTCGCTATTACTATTTTCAAAAAATCATTGAATTTCAATTGATGCGAAAATTAAAATAGTTTTTGATCAGTAAATAAGTGGGCGAGTTTTACAATCCCACGAGTAGAAAAATACATTACCCACGCGTTTCATCCAAAATTTTATGTCATTGCGCCCGGAAACTGCGATTTAACCGAGCGAAGCGAGGTTAGAATCGCGCGATTACGGGCACCAATGGCATAAATTAATTTTTATGTTTTTCGAAAAAAAAACCTTTTTTTTTTATGTTAAATAATGTATATATATTTAAAATTAATTCTTCACGAATTCGAAAAAAATGTGTTGTAACCTAAACATGTATGTGGAAAACTAATTGATTTTTACAGATATCGATCTCCTATCCTCATGATCATCCTTTAATTTCAGTGTGTGATTTCAGGAAGTTTCGGATTAAAAATGCAATATCTTTTTTTATACCCAACAAGAAATTGCTCCAATATACATTTTTTCCAAAAAAAAGAAAAATCTGAATACCTCCTGAATGAATGACTCAATGTAACCCATTAGAGCCACTGCGATCGCAAGAGGCGACTTTCTACCAAATTTTAAGTCGATAACTTGATTTTGAAAAATCAAAGATCGCATATAAAAGTTTTTTTTCGAAAAACATAAAAATTAATATATGTCCAAAACTTTTTATTCGCTGATCTTATAGAGTACTATATGACGAACATTTCTAAAAAACATGAAACTGATTGAGTGAAATTTTCATAATTGCACTTATTTATTCATCAAAACCTATTTTAATTTTCTCATTAATTGAAATTCAATGATTTTTTGAACATAGTTGTAGCGAATTTCTTCGTGCGAATCTCAATAATAATTTAATAAATGATAATTGCTGATTAATTATAGATCAATTAATCATCACTGATCATTATTTAGCATTTATTATTCACGTATCTTCCTTGCTTGAAAGAGTAAGGAAGAGAGAAAGAGAGGTAGGGATGGAAAGGGACAGGACAACTGTCGAAAAGAGTTTCACGGGTCTTTCCATCATTTTCGGGTTTACAAATATCCAATGTTGTCATTCCGCGCACAAACACAGCGTAAATGTGACGTTACAGTAGCCGGCGACGCATGCAATATATATAGATACTAGCGCCGCCCCGGCCGCTCCGCGGCCGGGACGTTGATGCACTTCTCCATGTCAATTCTCATGGAACTGCTCGTGTGGATTCATCCTGAATTAATGCACAGTGCCCCATGAGCATTGCGCCATGACACTTGTGGTGGGCGCCATGACAGTGCTCTGCTTTTTTTAATAGGATAACGAACCTCCTCGTTTTTCATGCTCCCCTAATAATTTTTTTGGAAAT